GTTGTCTGAAAAATTTAGCTAAAAACTTATGTCCTTTTACGATGTGTACTTTTTGGTGTTTAATCGCACCACGTCTTCTAGTAATCGCATGGCCCCTAGCTATATCAACTCGTTGTTGTACTATAAAAACACAAACAATCGTAATTGAGTATTTTAAATCTATAAAAATATATACTAGCAATAAATAGTTTAAAAAGTATTAATTACTTCTAATTATCTTAAATTAGCTGTGTCAATATATTATGCATAAATTAATCAATTAATTAAATATTTATTTGAAATATTTTTTTAAAAAACTGATGAAGTGCTGACCTTAACAATTATCATTATATTATAATTATACAAATAAGTTAATATTAAACTCTAGTGTAATTAGTAATTAGTAATAATAACGAAAGAAAACGTTATTCTCATAATAGGCCAGATAGGTAATTATATGGTTATAAACCAGATGATCACGTTATTCCCAAATAATATTAATAATTGAAACATAAATGGTGAGTAATTTTTTTAAAATTCAAAATAATTTATTATTATWAATTATAGTTATTAAATCATAACTTATTTGAGGAGTATACTTGTGAGTYGTGACTAATTTACTGTTGTCTTATTATACAACAATAATAGTCCCACGAGATGTGCACAACAGCACAACGTTTAATGTTGCGATCGGACTTGTAATAGCAATATTATAACAATAAATAATTATACTCCAACCCACAAGAGAACRACCAGTTTTCGCGGACGTAAGTGTAGACTGTAGACTGACCACTGACGAACCCTTACTCGTGCAGTCATGCAGAATAGTATAAACTATAAATCAGTGGCGTGGCAAAGAGTAATCTMAGAGGYAATTGTCTCTTTAGGGGGCGGATGTTTTGATTTGCGAATAAATTATGCACTACTTGGCACAAAATTAAACTAATCTGAGTAAGATACTTATATTCGAGAACTATTTTATTSTTGGAAATTAAAGTTGATACAAATTCAAGCAGGATTTTGAACCCACCCCTTCTCCAGCACTATTTGCGTTTATAGTAGTGGTCAGTGGAGAAGTGAGTCCTCCGGCTATATATGTTACTTGTCTCTAGAATATATTTTATGCTATAAATGTAATTMATAATTTTTTCATGACACATAACATCATAATTATCATAATTATAATTCATAAATATATTATTATCAACATTTCCCATTTACTTTAATAATATTAACATGATTCACTAAAGAATTACGATAATTTCACATGGTCAAATTTTTAAGCGCTCAACGTACCTAACATAATATAATATATTTATATCAATCCATGAAAGACGCAGTTCCTGACATTATAAATAATATAAATTGGAATACAATATTTCTAGTATTAGACTAATATTTCTTAAAACAAAAATCTTCCACAATTTTCAATTTCACGTAATAAAAAAAAAAACTTTTCAAAATATACTTTCACTGTCTTTCAGTATTCATTACGAAAAATATTGAAGAATAGTGACTAAAGAAGTTTTTGTAACTATACGTCTATACCTAGCTAATATTATTTAAATTCTGATTTTAGAAACTCTAGCTCGGAATCGCAAAATGAATTAATAATTTTTAAGATTTATTGCCTATAACTAATTATAATACTAATGTCTATAACMAAGTGGATTGGCTATAGGTTTTGGCATAATTCCTTTAGGCTTTAGTCTATAAAATCGAGCCAATAAACAAATCCAGTGAAGTATTAGTAAATACAAAAGTATAGAATTTAGTTATACCTATAAATTCTAAAGAYTATTAAATAGTTAATTACTATTTACAACGATAAACATTTATTTTAATGTAAATAATAGACATAATATTAAACCCAATATTAAGATTTTAAATAAATATTTACTTAAATACATTAGATACTATCAAAAAAAAAAAATCATTTTTTATTTTAAAGAAATCTTCTTTAGTTCAAACTAACAAACCGGAAAAATAAAATCTTTGTTTAGTAAAAATTATATAATACTCAGTATTATATAGGTATATATTATATTCATTATACTATATACTTACAACTATCTGCTAAATCTCCATCAGCTAAATTGTAATTTGTAGGAAGTAACCCTTGTGGAATTTTACTTCGGCCTCTGCTCTATAAGTTAGTCAAAACATAATTATAATTAGTTAAGGAATAAGTAATAAATAACACAATGTTTTATAGGGTAAAATGTACAGTTATTTTATATCTTAATAATTCAAATAATTGTCAAAAAAAAAAACAACTTAAGCGTTGAAAGTCGAAAGGATAAAATATAATTTATAATATAGGGATAGGTAATAACTTCATGGCAATTATTTAGATACGAAATAATATTATAATCTGCTCATCTGCT